GCTGCGAGCACTGCGGGAAGAGCTTCAGCCAGGCGGGGGCGCTCAAGCGCCACGAGAGGATCCACACCGGGGAGAGGCCCTACTGCTGCGAGCAGTGCGGGAAGAGCTTCCGGCAGCCAGGGCACCTGCAGCGGCACGGGCGGATTCACGCGGAGGTGTCGTATTTACCGTGAAGAGCCCGAGAGGGGGGGGGGTTTCAGCCAGGGGCCGGAAGCGCTCGACGTCGCCTTCCAGCAGGACAGTCTCCCCAGAGCACAGGGCCTCCGCGAGCCATGAGAATAGGAGAGCGAATGTGCTCGTGTCCCAGTCAGGAGCTCGGAGTCGAATCTTCTCGGCAGCCGTGAAAACGGCTCTTCAGGAGGTTCTCCCCGTGCGACCTCGGAGAGCCTGACAAATCCGCTCAAAGGAGCGGGACGTCGTGGCTGCCGAAGGGGGTTCCACCCAACAGTGGGTTCATGGGTTTATGGGTGTTGGTAAAATCGACAAGCAGTCGGAGCGTTCGGGCTTGGGATGAAGTCGTAAGTTGAAATATGTCATGTGATGTCACCAAGTGAGACTCCGCAGGGAGGCTCTGCAAACTTGGGACGGGCACTGTGCGCGACCCACTCGGTTTGCAAGTCATGTGACGGGTCATTAATAAAACACTTGCAGTCTTATTGACATTTTGGAATAGTTTGCAACGCGGTCCGTTATAAGAGCTTAAAAAAACTGCCTACTTATCTGGACACATAATATTCTAGTATTTTAAAGACCCGGATGTCTGAGGTCACGCAGATCTGTGCTCATGGGTGCTGTTCCCATCAGGAGCTACACCGAGGTCTGAGGGCTGGGTGTTCAAGGCCGCAGGGCTGGTGAAGCTCAACGCCAACGACAGTACAGAAACGGAGATGATACGATCTCTGTCCAGCCCTGACCAGGAGGTCTCCTATCCCTGGAAAGACTCACGGCCCCCAGAGTCTTCCTCAAGAGGGTGCGAGGTAGGGTCATACAGGGGAGGGACACCAGTCCACCACAGTGCACACAGACGCACAGTTCAGCACAGGAGTGCCAGACTCGCTCCTGGAGAGCCCAGAGTCTGCTGGGATAGATCTCACCCCGAGACCTCGGTTCATCTCGGCATCGTCTTACTCTGACATCGACAGGATGTCACTTTTGACAGCTCGTGGCTCAGATCGCTTCTTAAAAGTTAGAGGTGCAGAGGAGAGGCCGAGCAACCGCGATCAGGCATTACCAATCCATCTTCAGAGTCCGTCGGCTGTAGACGGAGGGTCAGGGACAAGTGACAACAGACTGACGAATGTAAAAATGAAGTGGTAAAAGACGAACAGAGCGGTTTTCCTGATAATGTCGATATCAGTGTTCCTCACTCCTGGGGCCCGTGAACTCCAAGTGATCAAAGAGTGTTATTTAACTTCATGGCTGATCTCCTGTACAACTGGCTGTTGAAAATGTCATGCCAAGATAGCAGGGCTTATACATGGGTCCGTGAGCACAATACGGGAATCATTACAGGTAAAAAACTCCGGTGGACAGGGAATGGATTTAACTCATGTTTACTATTGGCATCTGACACTATTTC